ATCAACTCCTAATAGACAAAATGATCTTGGAAAACTGCAAGAGAAGGAAGACCAACCTGAATGTGGCATGGATTGACTACAAAAAGGCATTTGACTCTCTGCCACATGATTGGATAATCAAGTGCCTAGAAATAACAGGAGTAAGTAGAAACATCAGAAAATTTGTGCAAAGATCGATGGCACAATGGAAGACACAGTTGCAGATCAATGGTGAAAGCTGGGAGAGGTTAATATCAAGAGAGGAATATTTCAAGGAGATTCATTATCACCATTACTATTTGTTATTGCACTGTTTCCTCTGTCAACAATACTGAATAACTCAGGACATGGTTATCAAACATCAAAAACATCTGCTAGACTATCCCATCTCCTTTACATGGATGATCTGAAGCTGTATGGAAAAACGCCATCTGAAATAGAATCGCTGCTCAACACTGTCCGTATATATAGCCAAGATATTGTAATGGAGTTTGGCTTGGACAAATGTGCCACACTTACTATCAAACAAGGAAAAATAGTGAAAACTGAAGGAATCAAGATGCCCCACGAAAATAACATTAAGAGTCTGGATGAGGAAGAATACTACAAATACTTGGGTATCCTTCAAGCTGACAACATCAAGCACACTGAAGTCAAGAAAAAGATTAGAGGTGAATACATCAAGAGAGTGAAGAAGATCTTAAAATCCAAACTCAATGGAGGAAATACCATAAAGGCAATCAACACCTGGGCAATCCCAGTCATTAGGTACACAGCTGGAATAGTGGACTGGACTCAAGCAGAACTAAAAGCAATGGATAGGCAGACCAGAAAAATAATGACAATGAATCATGCCCTTCATCCACGCAGTGACATTGATAGACTTTATCTACCAAGGCAAATAGGTGGGCGTGGAATGCTACAAGTACATCAGATGGTTGAAGAAGAAAAAATGGCTTTGGAAGAATATCTGAAGAACAATGATGAAGATGCACTGAAATTAGTATATCAGGAAGGCTTACTAACTACTGGAGAGACCAAACTGGCCTACAAGAAAGACCAAATGAAGAACAAAATAGAGGCATGGGAAGACAAAGCACTACATGGCCAATACATTAAAAAAATAGCTGGGAAAGCAGATAATAATAAAACCTGGCAATGGCTAAGAGCAGGAAAATTGAAGAAAGAAACCGAAGGATTAATTCTGGCTGCACAAGACCAAGCTTTAAGGACAAATGCATACAAAGTCAAAATTGAGAAGACAGCAACAGACAGTAAGTGCCGCCTATGCAAAGAAGCTGAAGAAACAGTGGACCACTTGGTAAGCTGTTGCAAGAAGATTGCACAGACTGATTACAAGCAGCGGCATGACAAAGTAGCAACAATGGTGCATTGGAAGATCTGCAAAAAATATCATTTGCCTGTAAGCAAAAACTGGTGGGATCATAAAATAGAGAAAGTCATAGAAAATGATAAAATTAAACTGCTCTGGGACTTCAGAATTCAAACAGACAAGCACCTGCAACATAACACCCCAGACTTAACAATTGTCGATAAGAAAGACAAAAAAGTCTGGATAGTGGACGTGGCAGTGCCTGGAGATAGCAGAATAGAAGAGAAAGAACTGGAGAAGATAACAAAATACAAAGACCTACAAATAGAAATAGAAAGACTGTGGCAAAAGCAAGCAAGGGTAGTACCAATAGTCATAGGCTCCTTGGGCGCAATCCCAAAACAACTGGAGCACCACTTGAACACCATTGGCATTGACAAATTTGCTATTAGTCAATTGCAAAAGGCGGCCTTATTAGGAACTGCTTCCATCCTGCGACGATACCTATAATACCATCAAACATCTACTTCTGCCTATCCCAGGTCCTGGGTAAGGACTCGATAGGTAGACAAAATGCCAAATCCAGTCTGAACATCTGGCTGACTGTGCGATGATTGATAATAATAATAATAAAAAATAAAAATAAAAAAGTTGGAAGGGACCTTGGAGGTCTTCTAGTCCAATCTCTTGCTCAGGCAGGAAACCCTATACCATTTCGGACAAATGGCTGTCCAGTCTCTTCTTAAAAACTTTCAGTATTGGAGCATTCACAGCTTCTGGAGACAGGTTGTTCCACTGGTTAATTGTTCTCACTGTCAGGAAATTTCTTCTTAGTTCTAGGTTGCTTCTCTCTTTGGTTAGTTTCCATCCGTTGCTTCTTGTCCTGCCTTCAGGTGCTTTGGAGAATAGCTTGACTCCCTCTTCTCTGGGGCAGTCCCTGAGATATTGGAAGACTGCTATCATGTCCCCCCTCGTCCTTCTCTTCATTAAACTAGATATACCCAATTCCAGCAACCGTTCCTTATATGTTTTAGCCTCCAGTTTCCTAATCAACTTTGTTGCTCTTCTCTGTACTCTTTCTAGAGCAGTGTTTCTCAACCTTGACCATTTTAAGGCATGTACTAGACAGTCCCAATTCCAGCAACCGTTCCTTATATGTTTTTAGCCTCCAGTCCCCTAATCATTTTTGTTGCTCTTCTCTGCATTCTGTATTTTATCAGGCATGCCCACCGCTAGGAAAAAAGATGAGCTATAGGGACACAATTCATTCTGTGTGCCTTGGTGTATATAGATAGTCCTCGACTTACAACCATTCATTTAGTGACCGTTCAAAGTTACAACATTGAAAAAAGTGATTTATAACCATTTTTCACACTTACAACCGTTGCAGCATCCCCATGGTCATGTGATCCAAATCCATCCAGATGCAACTGACTCATATTTATGATGGTTGCAGTGTCCCAGGGACATGTGATCACCTTTTGTGATCTTCTGACAAGGAAAGTCAAAGTAACACTTAACAACCGTGTTACTAACTTAAGAACTAACTTACTAACTTGCAGTGATTCACTTACAGTAGCAGTGGCAAGAAAAGTCACAAAATGGGGCAAAACAACTGTCTCGCCTAGCAACAGAAATTTGAGGCTCAATTGTAGTCATAAGTCAAGGAATACTATATTGGAACACAAGTTCTCCTTTTTAAAACATAATAATAAATTAATGGGACATACCAGATCAAAGGCATACAGGAAAATATATGGATAAAGGAATAACTATTATCTACAACATTATTGTCCATAAATATTTTTTTTAATTAAACTCCAGTTGAGTACTGCTTCAGAGACATACACAAACACATAGACACACACTTAGTTTTGTTACAAGTTGAGGCAATGTACCACTGGAATGTGATTAATACAGCCAGATATAATTGCTTTGTTCTAAGCCAATCAACCTTAAAGTTACATTAATGAAGATGTTGTTTTTCTGAAATGAAAATGTCATTAAACACAACTAGAAAACAAAACATTTGGGATTTAGATGTTGCTGAAAAATAAGAAGGCCAAGTATAAAATATCATTATAACCTTTTTCTGTATTGATTATTTTGAATTTGATCCCATGGATGAGCAGACTTGAAAATAGAAATTACGTTTTAAAACTCAAGTTTTGAAAGGAAATTCACAAATAATTGGAAGCAAAAGAAGATAATTTTTTTCTGTGTTCATTTCCTAATAGGAAAATGTGCAGAACCAATATTTTCCGCGAGTAAATACTGCCACCTGGTGAATACTAGTAAAATGTGCGAGGAAAGAGTCAGAATTGGAATAAGCTAATTATAGCAATCCTAGAACACAAGATATGAACTTTCAGGGAAATTATTTTATGTATTTATGAAGATTATTTTACATTTTGAATAGAAGAGAAAATTTTTAAATACAAACCAGCATTCCAGCAATGTCAGTCTGTATACCAGTAACCACTGCCATGATAATGAAAGAACATCTTCAAGATGGAGGACACCAGGTAAGCCATCAACCCATCTCTTATCCACTGCTGAATCAAGATTAAAGTAACCCCAGCAGATAATTCAAGATGTCCTTAAGGCAAGTCCAAGACTTGGTGTTCACCTGGATGCGCTTATATATACAGGTAGTCCTTTACTGCCACTTAGCAACTGTTAGATGTTACAACAGACCTTCCCGGGGGTACTTACAACCTGGATTCAAAGTTCTGATGGTTGCCCACCCCTAACCGCCCCCAAGTAAGGAAACTGCACTTTGAGCATTCAGGAACCAAACCATATTTATGGCCATTTGCAGCAAAACATGACTATGTTTTACGACATTTTGCCCCAAACTGGCATTTACCATAAATGCCGGCGTATAAGACGACTTCCGCGAGTGCTGAAATCGGCACCAAAGACGGGGGTCGTCTTATACACCGAGTCGTCTTATACGCCGGAAATACTGGTAGTTTCCGGCATATAAGACGACGTTCTAGGAATGCAGCCCGGCTATAAAGACGGGGGTCGTCTTATATGGCGGGTCACCATGGTGGACAGGCTCCATTATGGTCGTACCTCAAAGACTACCCATATCCACAATAAAGACTGCCCTGAGTCAAGGTCAAAACCAAATGACTATGTGGACATATCGATGTGGTTGTCCTGGCAACCATTTGGAACAGTTTTACTATTGAAGAAGCATCTACTAGCAAAACTGCACAGAATCCACCAAGGTAAAAGAAAGGATTCCCACAAAAGCAATAATTATTAAACCTCCCAGGCAAATCAAAAAGGCCTTCTATTTATGGCACTGAATTATATAAACAGCTCAAGATGCTGTTTAAGGAAGCCTTTCCTTCTTCAGAGGCCTATTCCTTTCTGATCTTCCCTGATGTGGGGTGAGGTGGGCATCTTCATCTGTGGCATCCAAAGCCCCTCACCATGGAATGTTTTTGCCATAAATTGAAGGCCTATTTGATTTGCCCGGGAGATTTAATATTTATTTATCACTGGTGGCTTTGGCATTTTACTTGTTTATATATTTCATATGATGTAAATGTTCATCAGAAGTCAGGCCCCCCACACACACACGCTCGATGGCATACATAATGGTGTAAACTGGTTAAATGTTACTTTAAAGGCCAAGTGGCATAAAACTGTTTTGATAATGAGGACGTTCTATGGCAGTTAAAATCAGTTAGGAATATTTAAGAAGGAAAAAAGAGCCATAGAGTCAAAGTTTTTCAGTTCTTCATTGTTTCATATGTTGTTGTTAATTACAAGCCGGTTACTGGAATAATTGGTTATTCATGATAGCATCTCTTTATTGTTCAACTTCAGGTATTTACAATAATTGTCTTTGCTTCCTCCATTTGTCTGAAGAAGTACCACTGAAATATTTTCTACTGCTTCTAACTTCCACGAATTTGCATCCTACCAGTTTTTTTGTTTGTTTGTTTCTCGCCTTTTCTTTCATCCCTCATATTTCTTAGTTGGGCTATGCTGTTTCTTTATTTTTCTTGATCCTCATAAATATTTTTATATTTCTTGATCTTCTCAGAGGACAAAATGTCCCCTAGCAGGGAGTCCCAACACTCAGTGAGGCATAAAATCCTCCATAGGGTGGAGTCATAGTTTTATAATGTTCTTACGTAATAATTATCAAATGATTAGTACCACACTATTCTAATATTGTGTTGTTGCTTTTATGGGGTTGATTTGATATATGTGCTATAAGACACTGAGAATCTGTTGAAGTTCACGGCAGGCAGACAGGCAGAAATGGATGGATGGATAGATGGACATCTCCCAAATATTGATTCTCTTTGGAACTTGGAAGGAACTCAAGTGCAACTCAGTTAAGACTTTAACACTGCACCGGGATATACAAATACTTCTGAATATTTTGGTTTTTTAAAAATTCATAAGCAAGCAATAACCATTTATTCTACCCTTAGGAAGCAGCATCTCAACTGTGAGACTGGCAGCAAATAAATATTTACAAATATACAAATAAATCTTCTGTGGTCAATGTGGAAAAACTTAGAAAAAGCATTTATATAGGGAAGAAAGTCAAACAATGCAATCTTTTCCCACTAAGAAAAGCTTAGGAGAGTTGGTGATCCATTTTAGGATACTGTATTCAGGGCTTGCCCTAATTGATCAGGCTGTAAAAAAAGACAGCAGGAGATTTCTGCTTTCAGGCTTGCAAGGTAGATGTCAGCCCTCTTGAGTAAATCAAGCAGAAACACAACCAGGTGAACCAATTCTACTTTATTGTAAGGCTACATCCACAGAATCTTGTAAATCTGAAAGTACAAATCTTCCACTGTCTCTTTTTGACAGCCTAATCAATTAGGGCAGATTCTTCTCAAGTTTCTTTCTCTGACCATTAAGCAAATATGGGTTTCTTCCCCTCTTGCCTGATCATTCCTTAGGTACTATCTCTTCCCTACATCCCTTGAGGTCATTCCCACATGCCACCTGACCCCACCTTGTCCCACCCCCCCCCCATTCCGCCCCTCTCCTGCCCACTCCACCTCATCCGGCCCACCCACAGGGTGATTCACCACCTCCACGGCCCGCCGCATATTGCCCAGGCAGCCCAGTAGCACCATGGTGGCCATGCCCTGTGCCCGCACCCCGCAGCATCAACTGCGTGTGATGGGGCACAAGGGCGGAGTCTTGCCCCTGCTGCCCGGCTGCCGTGTCATTGGCTGCGCTGCTCTATGCGAGCTGCGCTCGGGGGTAATTCTCCTCCAGGTGTGCTGCTGGTGATGAGGGGGGCATGGGGAGGCAGGGCTGGGGCTGGGGCGATTGCATACATGCCCACAGAGAGGGCTCTGAGTGCCACCTGTGGCACGTGTGCCATAGGTTCGCCACCACTGACCTAGACTCTCTGGAGTAGACTATATACAAATTTTGGTGTAAATAAAAAAAAAATAGAAAAATGAACTATCTTAGCTACATTCTTACATTAACATGCTCATTATACAAATTTTATCAGTTAGAAAGCAGTCGTTTCGAAAGACTTTTTAAAGTATTTTCTTGGTAATATTGACCTACGGCTACTTAAACTTTATTTCATTTACAATCATAATGTAATTTAAGAGTATGAAAATATGGCTGTTTTTAAGCCAAATTCTTTCTCCCAGGTAGATAAATAAGATCACACTGTAGATGTATATTTTAACTCTCTTTCAGTTATGCTTATTGAAATTCATATAATTTTTTTCCCAGGCATTTTTTCCCCCTAGATTTGGAAGACAACTAAGATAGCAAGGTTTTTTTTCATTTTTTTGTGTTTTTGGTGCTGATTGGCAAGACATATTAGAAAAACAGAGGGTAGGTTTGTTTAAACTTTAAAATATTTTGTTTCAAATAGATCTTAAGTAGGGCAACTAGATCTCATTTGCAAAAATATGAATGAGTATGAGTATCAGCAAAGTTTGCTATATATGTATGTTGTCATTTAATGGTAAAAAGGATTTTTGCACTCCATAACTAATAATCTAAGAAAAATTAATTTGAGAACATAATATATTCTAACTCAATAGAAAACAATTTAGTAGATGATCTGTCTACAGCAGTCTTTCCCAAACTTGGCAAATTTAAGATATGTGGACTTCAGCAAAATTCCCCCACTATTTTGTCACTGGCTGGGGAATTCTGGGATTTGAAGTCCACGTGTCTTAAAGTTGTCAAGTTTGAGAAAACAGGATTTTGTAAACTATATCATAAATGTTCACTTCTGACTTCCTCCATAAAAAAGCTATTTCACCTATTTATTTAGGTGATTGTTAAATCAAGTTGAATTTAATCTTTGAATGTCTTAGTTATTAATGCTAGTAGCTAAAGGTTAAATAATTTTTGGCTGCATTTCATGAGACTAGTATCTTCCAAATAACACAGTGAGAAAAATATACATATTTTAAATAATTTAATTCTACTCCTAGATCTTTGAAGCAGCTTTAGGAAAAAAAATAACACAATTATTTTTCCTTGAGCAGAACAGTTATGCCTGCCGCAAGAGAGATTTAAAATCAGCATGAACTAATTAACACAGAAATACTTTAGGAATATATGTGTAATCTTAGATTACCCTATGTTAACTTGGGTGGCTCCAGACTAAAATGTAATTAAAAAAAAATCAAAGTGGTATATTAACTGAATGGCTTCTCAGTGTGGTTCATGGAATTCTCCAGGAATAAAACATGACTTGTAACCGTTACAAAGATGACACCTAGGCATAAATCCATAAGCAAATGCTTGATTGAGTAGCCAAAATATTGTTTACCTGCTTGTGTTTTATGCCTATACGTGCCAATTCCTTGACAACAACCACTTTTGTAACTCCAGAGCAGTTTTTCTCAGCCTTGGCAACTTGATAACGTGTGGGCTTCAGTTTCTGAGCTGGCTGAAGAATTCTAGGAGTTGAAGTCCACCCATCTTATAGTTGCCAAGATTGTGAAACACTGGTCTAGATTAAGAAGTCAAAAAGCAACCCAGAGATTTTCATTATTACAGAAAAAAAAAAAAAGGTTACGAGGACTCGAGTTAATCTGAGTCATTGTTTTTGAGGAGGAGAGGGATAAAATTCTAGTGACATATTATTTCTATATATTATAATAAATGGATTGTCATTTTAGAGTATTGGTTTTTTACTTGGTGATCCTATTTAAAGATATTTTTCAACTACTGGTCTATATTGCCAGAGGGAGCCCTCTGAAATTTTGTCAATTGCACTGGAGGTTTTCTAGGAAGGTGGTACAGAAGTGTTAAATTTAAAAAGGTAACAAAGACATAGAAAATTAACAAATGTCTACTTAACAGAATTCTGTTTCAAGTTTTAATAACCAGATTCTCCATTTTGTTTTTGGTTGTTGGGTTTGCAATCGTAGTTTTTAGGCTAAGAGATGTTCGTTGTGGCTGAAAACTAGAATAAGACCACGAATGAAGGCAAATATATGCGTCCCAGGATAATGTTGCAGGATCCAATCTGGGTCAGTCACCGGAACTAGAGGTTTCGTCTTCCGAGTTTTCGGAAGCTCATGCTGGAGCCCATCCTGAGGGAACTTCTCTCTACTGGAATATGTGCTTTGGGCTATTCTATGAGTCATGTTTATATGGTGCTTTCCTATTGGTTAATTGGTGTCGATGGCCAGCGACTGGTTGCTGCCAATAATAAGATTGGTCTTGCAGAAAAGCAATTCACCATTAAATATTAAAATAGTATACAACTGAGACCACAGCACACTTTTCATGAAATAGTAAGAGGCGTCTTACTGCATCAAGTCTAATAAAGTAAACTGTATCCTTGGGCAGATGGCTAAACCCAACGATATTGCAATTTCTACACTTCAAGTCCAAGTAGATGACGTGAAAACCGTTATGACCCAAAACATCGAAAAGGTCCTAGAAAGAGAAGAGCGACTGAGTGAACTTGCTGACCGAAGTGATGATCTTGAAACAGCGGTAATTGTTTACTCTAGATGTGTAGATGACCTTGAAAGCAGGCAGAATTTGGAAAAGCCATGGCAAATGATAGATCTACTTTCTAACAGTACTAGCTAGCAGATCCCTGAGAAGGAGGGAGAAAGGGAGGAAGAGGGAGGGAGGGAGGGGGAGAGAGAGAGAGAGAGAGAGAGAGAGAGAGAGAGAGAGACTTACATCCAACAGGATGTAGCAGTCAAAACCTATTTCAGGCAGTCCTCAACTTACAGCCACTCATTTAATGATCATTTCAAGTTACGACAGGAAGTAACTTGTAACGATCCTCAGGACTGTTGAAGCATCCCCAATCATGTGATCAAAATTTGGGCCCTTGGCAACCAGCATGTATGTACAGCATTACATCATCCCAGAGTCATGTGATCGCCATCTGTTACCTTTTCTTTCCAACAAGAAAAGTCACTGGGAGCAGCCAGATCCGTTTAACAACCGTATGATACACTTAACAACCAGTGTGAATCACTTAACAACCATGGCAAAAATATCAAGCACTGACTCACTTAATGACCTCATCTCTTAGCAATGAAAGTTCTTATCCTAATTGTGGTCGTAAGTCAAGGACTACCTGTACTTGAAAAAACTGGGCAAATTCCTGAACGGGTGAATTGGTTAATTAACAGGAGTAATTATTCATTGAATAAGATACCCCTTGCTCAACTAGGTTCTCCCACCTTCATAAATGGTACAAAAGAGGAATTGATTTGAATGGCTCTAAATGAATAGTAGGTGTTCTAGTACCTCAGTACTGTATGCCTTTTAATTAATCCAGCGGCCGGACCAAGGCTTCTCAGGGAGCATTGAGTCTCCTTTGATCTGCGCGAAAAATATGGCCGCCGTTGCCAGGAGACTACTGCGCATGTGCTAGAATGCCAGGAGGCTACTGCGCATGTGCTAAAAAGGCAGGAGACTACTGCGCATGTGCTAAAAGTGCTGCCGGGCATGCGCAGAAGTCTCCCCTCTTGCCTGTACCACGTGCAGCTGTAATAAAGGGCCGCGCGTGCGCCGAGCTGCCGAGGCAATGGCGGCTCGTTTAAATGTCCCCGAGAAGCCTGGTGAGTGAAAGAAACTGCGCCCTCGCTCGCCAGCTGTTTCGCGCCGCCTGGATGATTCCCGTAATCAATCTCCCTCCCCACATGCGTCCCCTTTGCCCTCCGCTCCCCTCGCTAATCGTTTGCTTTTTTAAAAAAAAAACGCGTGGAGTTTCCGAGAGATTCCCTGTTCGCTTAAGGCCGCTGCCGGCTGCACCGGCTGGTCGATGTGGGGGAGTGGAGGGTTGGGGGTTAGGTGAGGGAGAGGAGTTAGGGAATTCACCCTTTTTAAGCGAGGGTGGATTTCTCTCTGGGGAATCTGAATTCCTGAATCCTACAATTTAGCAAAAAGGGAATTTCTTTTTTTGGATATTTTAGAATAATCAATTAAATTAAATTATATTATCTCCAATTAGCCCTAACCTGAGCAATTTCAGCTACTAGAAGATAATCCACCAATGGAAAGAAACTATACCTGCCTAGGAGCCAAAGTTGTACGTCTGTTCTGCTGGGCGAGATCAGTCAAGACTGGGATCTCGTGGTCCAGGACAGGCGTGGCAACTTTGGCTGACTGATCTGATTGGGCAGGAATACAGTCTCAACCCATTGAGTGGATTATCCATCTCCAGTGCTGGAGAATCAAGTTATTTTCAACTCACCCATTCAGGGGAAAGTAGATGCAGTCTTAAGAATTATAAATCTACATTATACTGACTTTTTCTCTTCCTCACCTGCCACATCCATCATAACTATATAAAGATAGGACCTTATAAAACAAGCTGCTTTGTTTTTAAACATTTTAATCATTCTTTAAGTAAATAGAACAAACTTATTGAACAAAACATATGGTACATTTTTAAAGTAGCTTCATCTTACTGAATGAATCCCATTTTTAATAATTTTTCCCATCTGATTTCAGGCTCATGGCTTCCAAAAAACTACTATCAAGATTTCAAAGAAAATGTGGTGGAAAAATGCTAAAATGATCATAATTATAGCAATAATATTTATCATCATTGTTGTTTTCATAGTTCTTATAGCCACAGGAGTTATTCCAATGTAAGGAACGTTTAAACCTACATAGTGTACAAAGCTGTATGAAGCACAAATATTTATGTTGAAACCCTATTTTTATATATAAACTGCTTGGTTTCACCCATTAATAAAGTAGCTCATGCTCCATCTTCTATTTGGAAGTGTACTTTCTTGCAAAGTGATAGGCTATTAGGTCTAATTAGAATCCTTATACCAAAATAATTGAACAGAATTTCTTATTCTATTCAATCTAAGAAGTGACTTTCTCAATTAGAATAGGAAAGAGGCATCCAAATAGAATTAGTTTTTTGAGTTCTAGCTCCCCTGTAAGGTTTCTTTAATTTCCACCTTCGTGGATTAAATCAAGTATAAATTAAGCTCTTGGTATTTCTCTCCAGAATACTCTAATTATTATTTGTTATCTAACATCCATTAAGTCACAAATCAGCTTTTCTGGAATCTGGAAACACCAGTGAGCTTTCAAGGATGTTGAGAAGAACTTATATACAGTCAGGTCCAGAAATATTGGGACATCGACACAATTCAAACATCTTTGGCTCTATACACCACCACAATGGAGTTGGAATGAAACAAACACAATGTGCTTTAACTACAGACTGTCAGCTTTAATTTGAGGGTATGTACATCCAACTCAGGTGAACGGGGTAGGACTTACAGCAGTTTGCATATGTGCCTCCCACTTGTTAAGGGACCAAAGGTAATGGGATAGAATAATCATAAATCAAACTTTCCCTTCTTAATACTTGGTTGCAAATCCTTTGCAGTCAATCATAGCCTGAAGTCTGGAATGCATAGACATCACCAGACGCTGGGTTTCATCCCTGGTGATGCTCTGCCAGGCCTCTACTGCAACTGTCTTCAGTTCCTGCTTGTTCTTGGGGCATTTTCCCTTCAGTTTTGTCTTCAGCAAGTGAAATGCATGCTCAATGGGATTCAGATCAGGTGATTGACTTGGCCATTGCGTAACATTTCACTTCTGTCCCTTCACAAACTCTTTGGTTGCTTTTGCAGTATGCTTTGAGTCAGTGTCCATCTGCACTGTGAAGCACCGTCCAATGAATTCTGCAGCATTTGGCTGAATGTGAGCAGATATTGCCCAAAACACTTCAGAATTCATTCTGCTGCTTTTGTCAGCAGTCACATCATCAATAAATACAAGAGAACCAGTTCCATTGGCAGCCATACATGCCCACGCCATGACACTACCACCACGCTTCACTGATGTATGCTTAGGATCATGAGCAGTTCCTTTCCTTCTCCATACTCTTCTCTTCCCATCACTGGTACAAGTTCATCTTGGTCTCATCTGTCCATAGGATCTTGTTCCAGAACTGTGAAGGCTTTGTTAGATGTTGTTTGGCAAACTGTAATCTGGCCTTCCTGTTTTTGAGGTTCACCAATGGTTTACATCTTGTGGTGAACTCTTTGTAGTCACTCTGGTGAAGTCTTCTCTTGATTGTTGACTTCGACACACATACACCTACCTCCTGGAGAGTGTTCTTGATCTGGCCAACTGTTGTGAAGGGTGTTTCCTTCACCAGGGAAAAAATTCTTTGGTCATCCACCATAGTTGTTTTCCGTGGTCTCCCAGGTCTTTTGGTGTTGCTGACCTCACCGGTGCGTTCCTTCTTTTTGAGAATGTTCCAAACAGTTGTTTTGGCCACTAATGTTCTTGCTATCTCTTTGATGGGCTTGTTTTGTTTCTTCAGCTTAATGATGGCTTGCTTCACTGATAGTGACAGCTCTTTGGATCTCATCTTGAGAGTTGACAGCAACAGATTCCAAATGCAAATAAGACACTTGAAATGAACTCTGGGCCTTTTATCTGCATATTGTAATTGGGGTAATGAGGGAATATCACACACCTCGCCATGGAACAGCTGAGAAGCCAATTGTCCCATTACCTTTGGTCCCTTAACAAGTAGGAGGCACATATGCAAACTGCTATAAGTCCTACACCGTTCACCTGAGTTGGTTGTACATACCCTCAAATTAAAGCTGACAGTCTGTAGTTAAAGCACATTGTGTTTGTTTCATTCCAATTCCATTGTGGTGGTGTATAGAGCCAAAGATGTTCGAACTGTGTCGATGTCCCAATATTTCTGGACCTGACTGTATAAGATTATCTACACCCCCGGCTTTCTAATAGGAAGTCTTTTGCTTCAGTTGTATTCCCATGCTTTTAAATGTTTGAATCTCCAAAGACAGAATGCGTGTAGTAGTGATGTCATGCAGAATATGGCGGCCTCTGTATTCTAGAGAATGAAATCCTATATAATTTTTCCTACTTTCTATCAACAGAATTCAAATATTAAAAATTGGAAATGATTGTTAAAGTTACAAGTTTTAACCATTTATCACTAGTTGAATAAAATGGGTGTGGTGGCTGTGTGGTTAAAACAGAGGCATGACGATCGGCGAGCCCGAGTTCGAGACCTGGGTATTGCTTGGCGGGGTGAGCTCCCGCCATTTGTTCCAGTCCGGCCCACCCAGAAGTTCGAAAGCATATAAAAATGCAAGTAGATAAATTGGTGGGAGCTCAAGCGGGGATAAGAGAGACAGCCCCCGCTGGGCGTCCCCAGGGCAACAGTGACATCATTAGCCAATACCTCTCGACCCCAAAGCGCCTTGGTGGCTGCCTCTGGATCCCGCTGGCTGCTGAACATCTATTGTCTCCAATGCAGTGGACTCCCCGTTTTCTGTACATTGTCATACACTAAATAAATAAATAATAACTAGTTGGATACCACCTTTCATGAACGACAAAAAAAAAAAAGTCAAATTTCCAATTTTTTCTATTGGAAAAAATCCAATGCACATTTATACAAAAAGATTTATTTAAAAAACCAGTAAGACGCTACTACATCATGACACTGTCACACTGGACTTTAAAACACAAGACCTGCTCTACAATACTGGGAACAAAATGGGAGCGGGGCGTTAAGCCAAACTGATTCTTAAGCGTAGCAATTAAAAAACGTAAGACGGTGAAACAATTCTGTTGCCAAGAGAGTGCAATCAAACGTCAGAGGGACCCCAACATCTTACTTTCACAATTCAGTGACGTGATACATTTTTTTTTTTTTAGTTTGACCGCGGTTAGCGGGCGGCTGAGCCGCCTCAAAATGAATCTTCCAGTGGAGAATACTGCTTGTCCACCTAGAGAGAAAGAAAGGCAAGTCAGTTTGGGAAGAGCAACAAGGTAGCCAAAATTTACAAAAACGTGTTTAGACAGCCCTATTTCCCACTACGTAAATATTGTATCCACATTAATCGAATGTGCTTTTTATATTAAAGCTGAACAGGAGAGTCCATGAGCTGGAGAGCCACATGTGCACCACGGTTTGAAAAAGGATCTTTCACATCTGAAATGGCTCAAGAAATATTTAATTCCACAAAATGCCATAAAGCATCTCCGCGAACGTTTAATCCTCAACCACCCCTAAGTAACTGTTGGAGGGGGTTTAAGTGACTATTCTGGCCCAAGACCTGTTAAAGGTTTATTCTGGGCAGCTACACAGCACTATTTGTCCATTCAGAGGGAGGCAACGAGGAAAAAAAGTTAATAGTCTACTATAAGTAGCAAATAGGGGTGTGCGAATCTATAGATATAGATCTATATCTATGTATATATATATATATATATATTGAAAAGTTAGAGAAGTTGTCACAACAGGACTTCAGCTCAAGAACATCTTGCAATTACTGCTACAACAGTGTCTACAAAAATGGGAAAAGCAAGCATTAAAATAGATTAATGAAATATAAAATTAATACTGGAAAATCCAGAGACAAGCTGTATCCTTAGAAGAACAAACAGTTAAAATTATTCAGTAAGCTGACGTATTTTAACCATTACTGGGCCTGTAAAAAATGCATTAAAATTATATTACGAGGAGCTTTGTTTTACAAGCAAAGAAATAAGTGAAGGCAAAGCTTGAAGTATCCATTTTATTATAATGCTGATACAGGATGTTGGAAGAGACCATACCAAACGGCAGCATTCGAGAGCGTGAGCATCTCGTACCCTGTCCGCATTGAGCGGGCCTGTGAGAATCGGGAAGTCAGCGCGACACAGGGCCTGCAAGGAAGTTCCCGCTGGCGGGTACAAACAAGGTATAATATCAGAGTTAGTAGGCAATACTAGTTCCCGGCAATTCCTTAATTTGTACCCATTAGCAGTACTTTACCTGTTAACTTTTATTGACTTGTTAATTTTATAGGGCAAAAGGTAAAAGCTTAAGACGACCTGTGTTACTTATCTTCAAAGTCATTATGTTACATTACGGTAAGCACTTCTGGGTGCTGTAAAATTTTAAAACATTACAGTATCTTACACAAAGTTTTTGAGAAAACTACTATTACTTAACAAAGTTAGAATTAGAATGCGGCTTTGCAAATGCAGGACATACCTGTCTGTAATAGGCTGCAAACGGAATAATTTAATACGGTTTGTAGCTGTTTTGATGGCCTCCTCGCCGGGATACCTTCCCGTAACCACTCTGCTGATCTAAACAAAAAGTTCAGGTGTAAGGCTCAAAAGACAAAAGAAGCTATTGCAAAAGCGCCTGAAGGCAGGACAAGAAGCAATGAATGGAAAGTAATCAAAGAGAGAAGCAACCTAGAACTAAAGAGAAACTTCCTGACAGTTAGAACAATTAACCAGTGAAACAACCTGCCTCCAGAAGCTGTGAATGCTCCAACACTGGAAGTTTTTAAGAAGAGACTGGACAGCCATTTGTCCGAAATGGTATAGGGTTCCCTGCCTGAGCAGGGGGTTGATGACCTCCAAGGTCCCTTCCACCTTTATTATTATTATATAAAACATCCATTTCCTTTGTAAAAGGTCAGGAAAACCAAGAAAACCTCTACATATTATATTAAAATTGCAAATGTATATGAAACAGGTATAAATCTAATTTATTAAACAATTATCTGCCAAAATAAAAATAAAGATTATCACATTTTTTTTTAAAAAAAATTATACTCTAGGAATCTTCCAGAAGCAGGTAGTTAATGAGAGAAGGCTGAGTCTCAATTGTTTCATCAAATAGAAGCGACATTCTAAAGCATTAATGATATACCTGATTAGCACCATATTCTGCTAAACAATCATCTGTTAGAAACTCCACAACTTTCTATAGCAGGGGTGTCAAACTGCTGGCCCACGGGCCGGATGTGTCACGAGGAAACCGTGCCCACCCCATTGCCAGCAATGGGGAAAAAGTTCCGTGACATCGCACGATGTCACGTGACGTCGCGAGTTTGACATGTCTGTTCTACAGGTATCTTTGGAAATGCCTGTTATGTGCTCTGTAAGGGACATTGCCTACTGCTCTAGCTTCAAGTTATATTGACTTATGAGCAGGTATACCAACTTCTTGTCCAAGCTGGCATGTTTCTCCAATCTTTTCAGTGTTCCTTAGCAATTTTTGTGCAAGATACTGCAAAGATGCAAAGAGCAATACATAAAAAAGTAAGGAAGAGAAAGAATTAAAAGCACTGGGGGCTCTAGTGTTGATATATCTTAATAATGGCTCTGCCGCAACAAGCAACTGAAGGCTCAAAGTTCTTCAGAACTGGA